AACAAGCAAACTCTTTGTTTTTGATTTTACTCCCCATTTCACTAGCATTTTCTTGCAAAACACTGCCACTTATGGGAACGTTTTCTTGTCTTTTTGAGTGAACCACTTAATAAGTCCCTTGTCAACCTTTTCATGTGCAGATAATGTTAACTTCCTAAATCTAACATTTGTTTTGTCATACGCTGATAAAATGTTTTCTCTGTTTTTCCATATTGTTGCAACAGTAGACTTTCCAAGTGCTAATTCCTTACAAATGTCACTCTGCTTTACTCCACTTTTCATTTTGTTAATAAAATCGTTAGTTAAAAAAAATTTAGTGAAAAAGCTTTGCGTTTTTGTTTTTCCATTCTAAAACTATTTACATACATAACGCGGCAAAAAACGACAAGTCACTGCCTGTTTCTCGCTCTCACTAATATAACCAACTCCGCACGATTCGTGTTGCTGAGCGTGGAAGTTCGTTATAAACGGAAAGTGAATATACAACTATCCTAAAAAGTGATCGTTATATCCGGAATTTCGTTATAGACGGGTTCGTTATAACCAGTAAAAAATACGTTGGTCTTTATGGATGACGTTTCAATTAATGGAAAAAAGTTAGTTTTAACCAAAAGTTCACTATAAGCGGACTTTACTGTATATAAATATTTTATTGATTTATTTGATCATATTTTCTCTTTATGAACATATTTCCTCAAACATGCCAGTTATTTAAAGGAAATTTCTCTCCTCGGAAAGTGCAAGTGTAAATAATTATGCATGGGTAAAATAACTGGCAATTTAAATTACGGTATCTGACTATTAACGTGCAACATTCCATGCAACGCCGCCGAAAATAAGAAGGAGACGTGATGAATATAACCGCAATCAATAACGAGGTTTGAAATAGGTTTCAAATTTTTTTGCTTAGGAAAAACTTTATTGCAATGGATTATAGGTCAAATTTCGTGTGTCGAATCGTCGATTGTTAGTTCTTAAAACATGATTTAACCGTATAGAGCACTGGGAAATCGCATTTTCAACGATAAATGCCCGGTCGTTTGGACATGATTTTCAATAGTTTGTAAGTGTTTTTTCTGCAAATTTATGGACCGTCGTATGATAAAATTAAAAAGAACGCCGAAATCCGCCAGATATAAAGTGCACCTTCACCCTTTAAGCCTATGCAGTCAATTAATTAAGGAACTCATCCTTAATACCTAGCAAAATATCCTTGCTTTGTCGCCTAAACTGATCAACCTCCATTCGAATATAGGAGTTAATATAAATTGTTTCGGTTTTTGCAGCCGGATTCTAAGACGAGCCCGCTGGCCCTACTAGCCCAAACGTGCTCCCAAATCGGAGCCGACTCGCCCACCTCCAAGCCGCTACTCTCCACGTTGGAGAAGAAAAAGTCGGAGTCGCGCACCTCACCCGTGTCTACCAGGAGCGGCAAAACATCGCAGCGCTCTACGCCCAGCGATAGCGGCGCTAAACTGGCCTTCAAGCCCTACGAAAGCACAGTGGTGACCAAACGTGTGGACAGTGCGGACAATGGCAAAAAGTCGCCTAGTGACCGAAAATCCGCGTCTCCGAGTGCCCAAAGTGGCGGTTCGCATACGCCCGGTGCCTCCGACTGTGAGAAACCCGCCTCCGAAACGAAGCAAAAGGACGTCACGACTCCGTCGGCCAGCCCTATAATCCGCTCGGGGCTGGAGATGATCCAGGGCCATCCCAAGGAGCATTTGAGCGCCTACAAGAACATGTCGGCAGCTCTGCCGGCGCATTTGGGCTCGATGTACTGCCCGCCCGGCTTGGAGCATCCCGCCTACAGACCTACGTTCCCAGGGGTTTCGTATCCTCACCATCACAACATGCTCGGCTACCCGGGCGCTGCGCCCACTCCCTACCTGAGCTACGCCCGAGTCAAGACTCCCTCGGGGAGCGAAGCTTTGGTGCCGGTTTGCAAAGACGCCTACTGCACCGGGGGCCAGTACAGCCTGCCTCCTAATCAGCCTCTGATGATGGCGGGTGGCGCCCCAGACCCCTGTCCTTCGGGTTGCACCCAGTGCGACCATCAGAAGTACAGCATGGCCATGTCGATGTCATTGGGGGCGCAAAACAGCCTTCCCTACCCCCGCCTGTACGTATGCAGCTGGATAGCGGGCGATTCCTACTGCGGAAAGCGGTTTGTCACCTCGGATGAGCTCTATCAGCACCTCCGAAGCCACGCCAGCACCTCCGATCCCTCGACCAGTAGTGCTGCCAGCTTGCTCAATCACTCGCTGCTCGCTTCAGCTCGCAGCGCCTACTCCAGCGCGCTTAGTCCGCTGAGTCCTCGCTACAACCCCTACGCGAAACCGGGCCTACCAACCAGTCTTGCACCATCGCACTACAGCGCCTTCAATCCGGCCTCTTTAGGCTCGTACTACTCCTCCTACCCGTTGTCCTTCTACGGGATCCAAAGGCTGGGCAGCGCCGCGGTACATCCGTAATAAATCCACCAGCTCTTTATAGCTTTGACTGTGATAATTTGTAAATATGTTGTTTAGTTTTAAGGACTTTGTTGTTTGAATGGAATCGGTTCTTGAATAGGAAAACATGTCATTTTATCACTGAAAAGCATGTTGGATCGGGTGCAATACAAGTGGCCGTGTCGGGGTGTGTCTAATGATGAGCATTTGAGAGTTGTACGTACGATCTGTATATTATTATAACTATATGTATGTTGATTTGGTTGGTGAATAAAATTGTTTCGTAGCTAATTAGGTTGTTTGCTTTGGGAGTGCTAAAAAAGGTTCAGGGCAAAGTAGATGAAGCGAGTCCAATTCCTTTTCTGTTTGTGGGTGATTTTTTTTGCAAAAGTTACGTACTTTCGAGTTTCTAACTCTACTTAATCTACAAGGGGTTCTCAAAATTTTAAATTTTTGCATTAGTTCACTGAAAAAACTTGATCAACAGGAAATATCCCGAAAACTCCACTCCCATAAAATAACCAGTCGACTCGCTTCTGTTATCTGGGACACGAGTGACAGGCTAATTAACAACGAATCCATCTAACTATAATTTATCATTTTCGACTAATGTTTATCCGGGCCGCGTATTTGAGATGTCACTTATTCACAATTGATTTGCAGCAGCGCCTCTACCTTTTCGAACTCATTAGGATTTTAAACATCTCCAGATTAGTGACAGAATAATAATTTATAATTACTATAAATCTTAATAGATCTGACAACTTAAAAGGCTTATTAACTGCGAAACTGACTGCTACCATGATCGATCGGGTACCAATTTGCATTTTTAAACCGTCAAGGATTTATCAGGCAGGTACTTGCTAGTTTCTATAGGCAGGTTCTCGGCTTGATCGCCTGCTGATTTACACTTCAATAACGGAGATTGTTTGCTGTCCTGTCTAATCGCAAAAGGTGGCTGGTAAGAGGTAAAACCTCACCAAACAATTGGTGAGGTTTTATGAAAGGGATCAATGATTGGCAGGTTTCGCGAGAAACTCCAAATAATAAACGAGATTATTATTAGTTTTATCAGTGATTTTTTGGCGAGGCAAACTTTTAACAGTTTCAAAATTTGACTGCATTTTTTTATTTTTATCAACTCAAAGTTTAGATTGCTGCTTCTTCGTTTCAAAGCTTTGGGGAATAGATGCTGCTTCTCTCAGATCCTCATTGCTAGAAATAAACATAGAATATTAACTAACACCCGGTATAATGAAGAATTTTGCAAACCAAAAATAATATCCTCAGAATGCAAAGAGAAATAGCTGAAAGTAAAATAAATCAATATAAACAGTATTTTATTCGCTTTGTGTCCGATAATGGACAAAATGAATACTCCAAATGCATACCAAGGCTTAAAGCAGCAACAACGCTACACATGTAAGTAAAAATATTTAAGTATCTGAACGAAGAATTCTAGTCTTCCCAAATTTGATTGTCCTGACTAATCACCTGTTAGGCCTAATTAATTTTAGAATGTTTTAAAGTATTGCAACTGTGATGTATTTTAATGTGTAATATGATGAGGCTGTTGACGAATTGTGGTTGTTTTTTAAATTAATGGAATTTTTTTTAACTATGTTATTTTAACAAAAACTGATGATGGTGGAAAAAGACACCGAAACGTATTTTGATTGATAAATAGAGACAATAAATGACTGAAACCCAGGAATGAATTTTGATTTGGAATTGAAACACAGTGAGGAAAGTATATACAATTTATTTTTATTACAAATACACTGTGATTATAATCCTATCGCAAAATTTAGGTTTTATGGATCGTTATGATTTTTTGCTATGTTTCGGGTGAACTGATTTAAAACCCTCTTTTAGTCAGTTAATTGCACGCAAGATTCACGCAGTTCAAAATTTTCGTGGCAGGTTTTAAAGGTTAGGAAGCGCTAAACGACAAATTCGTTGCCTAAAAGCACGGTTTTGGCAATTGTAAAAGCATTTTGATATAAGCCCGGTAATGAATCAATTTTGATGTGAGTCCAAGTGCGAAAGGAGCATTCCAAACGCGAAATTTCGACTTCAAGCAACCTTTTGATTATCTCCTGAAATCAGAGTGTTTATGAACGTCGCTAAATTGCAGTAAAGTGGGCGCAGGATTCCGCAGGTTGTAAAAATTTCGGGGAGATTTTTCCAATTAGACAGGACATATTTTAGCTGAAAATCAAGGGTCGAAAGCCCGAGCTTTATTCTAAAAACCAGACTTTTAAATTGTAAAAATATTAAATTTTACACACAGTCCAAGCAACAAACAGTAAAGTACAGTAAAGTTTTTGTCTCAAAATCTCTCATTTGCTGTGGAAAACGAGAAAAATGCTCGGGACTATAAGATTTTCAGGTATGAATAGTCTTCCGAGTCCAAGCATTTTTTTCAATAAGGAAATCTCTCACAGTTCTCCAAGAGAATCCAAGTGCGAAAGTCCAAACGAAAGCTTTCGATTTTTCCGAACTGGAACATTGGAATCGTTAGGATGATGAGTGAAACTTGGACCAAAAATGTTCGTTTTTCTCGTTTTGTGTTGCCGTACTTTGGAACTTAATTTGTTACTTCGTCGACGTTTTTTCGTGTTCATGATGCTCCTGTTTCCTCATGCCAAAAGGTTCGATCTATTTTTATTCCTTTCGTGAATTCTTCACCGTGTTTTAGTTCCTGTGCTTTGCTGTTTATTCTATTGCGATGTAGAAAATCCATTTTTTCTGGATTGTTAATTTTCAGATGCATACTTTCCATTTTAGTCTCGAAGCTTTGAAGAAAAGGAAGAAGTTCTATTGAACCTGAAACATTAGTCCTACTCGATTATAAAAGAAGTCGATTGTTCCCAAGTTAGTCGTATGAATGCCAACAATAGCGGAGAAAGTCGAATGTTTGCATGCGAAAAATGAGGGTTTTTGCAGACTCAGCGTCTTGGCGCAGCATGCGAGCATAACAACAGAGCCGTTACTATCTGAGCAAATCTAATTAAAGCAAACACGTACAATCTAAGCCCAGGTGTTCTTAGTACACCTGCCCTATTATTTACCTGGGAGATTAGAATGTCAGCGCGGTATCAATGGAATTAAAATATTATTAGATTTTTGGCTCGAACTTGTCAAGAGCCGGATTCAGAGCGTTGACGAATCTGCTGCGCTCGTCCAAAGAAATAACAGCCGCCACATGATTGATGGCCACCGATTTTTGCGAAATTGCCGTTTGTTTAGAGCATGATGCGATTGCGTCACGCTCGTTATACCAAACAGCAACAACAGGAAAATCTGGGCGGGGTTTTGAAAAAAACGCAAAATAATCTGGGCCAATTATCCTAAATGTCGGTTATTAATTTCTAATGTCTCCTAGCCCGTTGGGCCTGAATATTTCAGCCGAGCCAACCGATAATTTACTACCTTTTTGACCCTCAATATTTATAATAAAGGAGAAACAAAATACAGCCCGACAGCACGAAAATAACAAGGTACGGCCGGAGTGTACGCTAACCCGGTAATTTTGCTTTATCCCATAAATTTGCGGTCTACAAAACCATTACACAATCTGCTCGGCGACTATCACTTGCTCTAGAGACTTTTCTGGGCGAAAACCTTACATTTACTGATGGAGAAAAGCGAAATAAATATACGATTATGAGCATTAATGCGTTTAGAAATGAAGAAATCGATATGATATCAGAAGAAACAATGGGAAATATTTTCGGGCCCAAACCACTCGAATTAAAAACGAGAGAACGAAGTGAATTGTTTGCCGATGCGACAGATTTTCTGCCTCAACTTCAATCGTAAATAACCCGGCCAAATTCCTGCTCTTTTCGAAAAAAAAATCGTTCATTAAAAAGTGGATAAACAATGATTCCTCATATCAAGTCAGTCAGATTTCATTCTATTAAAATCAATTTAGATTTAAACTACTGCAGCTACATTTAACTCGATTAAATAACTCGAATTATTCGATATTATCGAATGATGCGATCGGTAAACCAGCGAAAATTTCTGGTTCAGCTCTAGAGGCCCGATGGTCGCGCCGTTCGAACAACTATATCGTGGTTATGACCCATAATTTGCTTATTCCACTATGTTATTTTACCGTGAAAAACTGAAAACGAACCATACACAACCGATGGTATCGATTATGGTAATGCGGCGTCATTAACATGTCAGTTTACCGTATGGCGATGGAAATATGTCTGTCAGCTTTTGCAGAACGCCCCAAATCAACCGCTCTAATCGGTTGTCTTTACATTGGCCCAAAGAAAATTCGCACTTTCATTCACACTTTGCATTTATTTGCTAAGCCCCAGTAGCCCATGTTTTCGTTAATTTTTATTTGCATTTTAAATTCGTTTCTTCTGTATTTTTTTGGTCTTTTAAGTTTGCGTTTGAGGACATAAAGTTACGGCTCAGCTCGAAAGGGAAAATTGTCTAAGCTCTTAACGAACTGAAGTCGACAGCAGATTGTTAAAAAAAACCTGCAGATGAACAGTAAAGAATGTTTGGAAAAATACAAATAAATCACAAAACATGTTAACTAAAGGAAGATTGCTGTAGATTGTTAAGTCTAACTAAAAAAGCGAAAGCACGGTGGACGACCGAGAATCTCTGCAAGATATAAAGTAATTGAATGTGGAACACATGCAGAATTTAGGGAAAATGTCTTCACACACAGAATAGGCGGATATGAGAGAATACCAACAGCAAAACCAGCCACATCCAGTCTTCCACAGGCAAATGCTAAGTACATTCTTCACATCTCTACAGATCAATTTCCTAAAGCGAGTTGTGAAAGAGAAATTGAGCAAAGAAATAATGTTGCGAAAATCGTTCGACTTGTCAAAAGTCATCCTGGAACTAGTAGAAACAGAAAAGCTAAATTTTCTGAAGAATGCATGACTTCTATGCACAAGATTGCAAGCAAATCGACTTAATTTATTCATTCTTATCAGTACCAATCGTTCAAAGAACTTCTTGCATCAGATCCTCACTTAAGAGTTTGTCGTTTCGAGTGGATCGTTCACGAGTAGTGACTTGTTTTCTCAATGATGGTCCACTATCCACCGCAATTTCCAGACCTCAACCCGTTGGACTTTTTTTATGTCAAATGAAAACACCTACCTACTCATTCAATAAGTGAGTAGAGTCCAAATCATACGTATTTCACGTGGCAAACGATCGAATTGTTCCATTCGATTTTAAATTAATATCAGATAATTCGGCAGCGGGAAAAAAGTCGAATAAAAGTGAAATTGTTGCAA